AGACCTTACAAAATACAAAGAGAAACATACTTGTTTTTAGGAGTGGGATAAACTGCATTCTGCCTTGGCAGTCATCATGTGGGTCCTTTGACAGTTCTTCCCATTGTGTAGTCTTAATTTTCCAGTTTTGAAACATTTTGCTGTTTGTCATCTTACATATCACTTTGTGTTATTCACGTGTGTTTCCAAATATGCTAAACAAGCGGAAGAATGATAACATCCCTGGGTGGCTGGTCTAGCAGTGGAACAGTTGTCATCATTGCGTCAGCGTTTTTACTGCACTGCTTAACACAGTGCATTGTCTCTCAAGATACATAAAAGAAGATCAGAGACACCATCTTTCTAGTCTGCTTTTTGCTTTTTTTGAAACCCATGAAATTTCAGGATTTTTCTTTGTCCATTTGTTATGGAAGAAAATGGACAGAGAAAAGACATTTTTGTTACTAGAAAGCCAGAAGATGAATGAAAGAGATGGATAAGCAGCATTCTAGGCCCTAATGATGATGGAGATTGGAATATTTAGCGAAATCTCAGACGGTGAGTCTTCAGATGATATCTTAGGTAACTGTCGCAGACTAGAGTTGATGGGTAAATAACTGGTTTCTGGGGTGTGCATAGGAAGAGCGTGTTCTCTAGTTCGTCTTTCAGTAGGAAAGACTTCACTGAGACCCAGGAACTCGGACCGCCCTGCTTGGATCTTTATCAGGAAGAGTGTGTGTGACAGTATTTTTCCATTTCTCGTGTTTTGCCACCAAAATTCATTTCTTAGCAAAGTGGGATAAACACAAAAGGAGGTGTTTGTCTACCAAGGCATTGCAAGGAAGTAAAAGAAGCAATGACCAAAAATCATGAGATTCTTCTATTGGGGGGCTAATAAATCTAAAAATGAAAGCACTTTGTAGCTAAGTAGTAATGGTGATGTGTCCTCCACAAAACTGGGAGCCAGCTTTGAAAGTGGTGGTTTGACAAGACCAGCGGAAGGAGGAGGAGGAGCCCCACTGGAGACCTGTTGCAGCCGGTGCGGCGAGCGGCTGTGCTCTGGCCGGGGACACCTGAGGGTGGCATTGTGGGTGCCCCCAGCCTGTGGGCTAAAGCTCAGGCTCGCTGCTTTAAATTCTTGTGAGAAATCTCTGCAATTGGTTTTGTTGTTTTACTTTCTATATATCATTTGTAATAAAATGGCTTTTAAATGTAGAAAAATAAAAAGTGTGTGCTGGAGGCAGATAGTGGCGACTACTTTTCCCTTGGCCCACTGAGGGTTAAGCATGGTTCAGTGTGATTTTCTTTGCTCAGTGTTGCCTGGATTTTATGGCTGAACCATGCGCTATGGAGTTGATGTGAACAGTCATTCCCACTCCATGAAGGTGGGACTGACCACCCACTTACTATACCACTACACTTGCCGTGTTGCTGGGAGTGAGTGGTCTTATGTATATAATCTCACTCTTTAGGTTTTATTTTGCCTTTTTTTTTTTTTTAAAATTGATTGCTTTGTCCCTACTGAAACTTCTTTGGAAGCAGTGGCTTCGAGAAATGAATTGCAGACCTGTTTGCTAGTAAAATCACCTTGGTATGTAAAAAAAGGAGTACACATGCAGCAGCCACCCAGGCCCTGCCAGCAGCAGGGTGCTCACGCGGCAGGTGGGGTGCTCCGGCTCGCCCGGGGCACCTCCACATGCCAGAATCTGGTGCTGCAGGCCTTACTCTGGCCTGGCGTTCTTGGTGGGTAACCGTTGCTTTCTGTTAGACTTACATGAAGCCATACTATTAAAATATGGCTTAAGTAGTAGCATTCATTGTCACATACTTAAAATTTTGAATTTCATAATGCAGATAAGATAAAAGCTATCTGAGAATGATTTTGTGTGACTTTTCAAAATATAGCACTATACTGCATTTTGTTTTCATCCATTAAAGGAATGGCTCGGGAAGATAGAGTCAGTCCCATGGTGGACTGACCACACCCTGCTGTAGGAAGAAAAATGGGGGCCTGCCTTGCCTTCCTTAAAGAAGAAAAAAACCTCAGGTCAGCAGGACTCCTTGTTGCCATTTTTTCAGTCCAGCTCAATTTGCCTGTTAAATTATTACACTTTTTTGTATGTTTGAAGGTATAATTTAAAATAATTTATAATGTGTAATTTAAATGTTAAAATGAAGTAAGGTGGTATGAGAAAAAAGAAAATTGGGGTAATGTGTGGTAATTGAGGTCGTATGTATATCAGCCTTTACATGCTGCAGTTCATTTCAAAATTTTGTTCTGTTTGTGTTTAAAGAGAGCATCCTCATTGACATAATCACAAGCGCGGGCTTTTTTTTTTTAACAACTCACAGCAACCCTTTTTTAAAACGTATTTATGCATACAAGAACTGAGGTACAGGCCAGAGGTGTGGGGGTGAGAGGATTCACCAGAGCCAGAGTGGGGAGCAGAACAGGCAGATTGACTGAAACCACTGCTGAGGGGAGCAGCGGGGAGACAGGAGAGGCCTGCGGTACCCTTTGGGTCAACTCCCTGACTGGGGATCAAACTTCTGTCCCACAAGACACTAGTGGGACGGCTTCATAGTGCCTCAATTTAACCCCTTGCGCCACCAGTGAGGCCCCTCGCAAAAACCTTTTGATAGCCTTCAGATATACAGGTGTCCAGAAATCTTTGTTGTACACATACATGAGTTAACCTGTTAACAAAAGTTAATTGAGGACCTCTAGTGTGTTAATATTTGGCACAAAACATTTTTTGTTGCTTTTTAGAAAATAATATAGAATTTAACAAAGATTGCCCCTGTGCGTGTTTGTACGTGCACACATAACCACTGCCGGGGAAGTCTCAGTTGTGCAGCCATTGCTGCATCTGAACTCTCAGCATCCCCCAAAAGCAGCTGCGGCTTTAAACACTCCTGCCCGTCCTTGGGTCCCAGGTGCCTCTGTTCTGCTTTCTGTGTGCACTCGTCTGTTCTAGTTAGCTTCCTGGAAGCGAGTATGTGTCCTCTTGTGTCTGTCTGCATTTAGCGTAATGGCTTCAAGATTCAGCCATGTTGTAGCATGTTCCTGAATTTTATTCCTCCTTAATGTTAAAGCTGAACGGTTTATTCTGTTGCATAAACATTCAGCATTTCATTCCCTCATCTGCTGATGGATGGTCTGGTTTCTGAGCCTGCTTCCAGCTCGAGGGTGTGTACCTACAGGTGGAGCTGGGGGGCCCAGTGTCAGGTTTCGCGCCCAGGAGCCAAGCAGTCTGCTAAGCAGCCACCGCCTGCCCCTGCTGGCGCAGCACCCTGCCCGGCAGCACCCTGCCCGGCAGCACCCTGCCCGGCAGCACCCTGCCCGGCAGCACCCTGCCCGGCAGCACCCTGCCCAGCAGCACCCTGCCCAGCACCTGCTCATTCCTGCTGCTGTGGTAATTGCCATCCTGCGTGTGAAGCGGTGCTTCATTCCGCTTTGGCTTGCATTTCCCGAATGGTTAGTGATGTTAGGGCCGTTTGTGTTTGGGGGAAATGTCTGCCCAAGTCTTCCCTCTGGTTTTGAACTGGGTGGTTTGTATTGTTGAGTTGTAGGAGTTCTTACATATCCCGGGCAGTAACTCCTCAGCAGATAATGTGATTTGCAAATATTTTCTCCTGGCCTGTAGGTTGTCTTCACTCTGTTGACCTTCAGTGCACAAAAGTTTTTAGTTTTGAACTCCAGTCTGTATTTTTCTTGAGTTGCCTGTGCTCTGTGTTGTTGTTAAGAAATCTTTGCCAAATCCAGTGTCATGAAGCCTCCAACTTCAATTTTTTGCCTGTGACTATCTGGTCTAACACACTTTTAAAAATCGTGCGTGTGTATTTTAGTTTCAGATTTATTTAAAAAAAATTCTAGACCAAACCTCCAAAGCCCCAGTCTCCTAAAAGCACCTTACTTTCTGGTCTTAAGAATTTACTTATTAAAAAAAAAAAAAGCAGGCCTTTTTCTGCTTAGGATTTGAATAATAAAAAGGGTGTTTAAGTTAATAAATTACCAGAAATACTATGTGAAGAGCTTTGAAAAGTCTGAGGAAGGGAAGATTGGAAGGGAAGTGTGGAGATGGGCGCTCTGGAAGTGTCTGGCTTAAAATGACTAGTGCAGTTAACATTGTTGACTGGCTTCATAGTTTTGAAACAAAATTTAGGATTGTGTTTCTTTCCATTACAGCTTAAAATATTAATGTGAGATCTAAAATCCATGCAAGGAAACGAATGCACAGCAGGTAGTCCACGCCTGCCTCCTGTGGTAGTTCTGACCTGGGCAACGTGATTTTACAAGTTCTTTGAAAAGAACATGAAGCAAAACACATCTTTCTTGACACGTTTGGGGGCACTTACTGTAGTGCGCTGACTACCTGGCCTCTCATGGCAGCGCAACAGCACCGTGTGGAATGCTTGCCGTCAGTGGTGCCGCCAGCTGCCTCTTGACTCCCAGCGTGGCTGGAGGGCTGGGAATGGGCTGTGTTACGGAGACAGTCTCGGCCTGTGTTCAGGAGAGTTTATTCGCACCTTGCGCTGTTGCCAGCAGCACAAAGCATGAGACCATGGCAGGTTTATCATTTATTCCACCACATCCTTATTAAAAAGTGCTCAGCAGCGACTTCATACAAATAACAAACTGAGCTCTCCATGTCCCACACAGATAAGTCTGTATTTTGACTTTGCCACAGTCGCCTGTCAGTCCCAGAGCCGCTTGGTGGTCCCATCTCCTGCACCCCAGTGTCGCACTGCCCTGCGGTGAGAATCAGGCAGTTTCGGACCCCCAGAGGTCTGTCCTGTGTGGCTGTGGGTGGTGAACTTGAGAGGTCCCAGCCAACCCAAGTTTGATAGGACTCGAGTCTGTTGGCCTTTTACAGTCAGGGGCCCGTGTGTGTGGCCTCGGGCACAGGGGCGCGCTCCACCCCAGAGCCGGGGCGAGTGCTGGGGGCTTACTGGCACAGCTGGCACATCGATGGCTTTCATGAGATGAGAGTTAACTGTCACACTTACTCTTGCTGCAGGTGAATGGAAGGGAATCAGAAGAGGAAAATCTCAACAAATCGGAAATAAGTCAAGTGTTTGAGATTGCACTTAAACGGAACTTGCCTGTGAATTTCGAGGTGAGCTCACTTCACGTATAGAACTCCGCGCTTCAGAATGCTGTTGGCATTCGTCATCCGGATTGTAACATTGGGGGTAACACTCACATACTTAATGAAATCTCCAAGTTGAATATTCAGAGTTGGCAAAAGGTTTGTATTTTTTTCTGGGAGTTGTAGACACGGGCAGCCCTGGGCCGTCGGTTGTCCATGGATGGTCGCGTGTCCTCAGTCTTGAGTGCTGTGCTGGCGCGTGTGTGCGTTCATCTCTCTGCATTCATGTCGCAAAGGCATTGTTCCCCAAGTAATACGAATCTGTTCAAGTGGTCCCTGAAAACCTTATTAGGTTCTTAAAAGAAGATAGGTTTTGTCACTGACTACAGTGACAAAACCTCCTTCACTATTCAGTAGCCCCATTTGCTGTGGGAAACTTGACAGCCTAAGGAGAGTGGCTTACAGGTTGTTCACAGTGGAAAGCCAGGTACATTTGGGCTATTTCCTTTAATCAGGCGATAGGCCAGGGCGGAGGGAACTTAAAGAGTTTCCCTTAATGACAGACACTTGGTAAATTCTTATCAAAGTCTTTTGATGTCTGTGTTTGGTTGTACAGGGTGGTATTTTCATTCAGGAAGCAAATTTCTGTGTCAGTTTTTCACTCTTTCAAAGTTATAAAGAGTATATGTTAATATTCAGGAGAGATTAGAACTCATATTGTTACTTCAGACACGCAATTTGAGTTTTGAAACGTTAAGTGATTTATAGACTTCTTTTGGACAGTTTGTTTTAAAGAAGATTACTGTATTATAAAATAATTTTGTAGCAGTTTTGCAGTTAAAGGTGATCCCCAACTTTCATGCCTGATTTTCACAAAACATACATACTATCTACCGTTAACAGTGCTAGTGCTCTGTGCTGGCCGCAGGGTCCAGTCATAGACCTCCGACAGGGAAGCTGACTCTGCATTGCCAGGCCGGCGCTGACCTGCCCGCCAGGGGTAGGCGGGGCAGGACTTTGCACTGCCATCACAGGCTACTCTGCACCCCCAGGCCCACCCCTGTTCTGCTGGGGCAGGACACCCCGGCTTTACGCTGTCGCCTCTTGGAGTCACAGCACGTGTGGGTCAGGGCCGGTGTCTCCTCCCTGGGCCTCCATGCCTCCGAGTGCTTTGTGTTAGTAGCAGGGTGGAGATTAGGAAAGCACGGAGCGGGCAAACAGAATAATGGGGCTAGTTGTTGGGTGGGGACTGAGTGAACATCACCCTAAGAAGCGAGGGGGTCTCTCCAGATATGCACTGAGTGCAGGAAAGGTAAGACTCGCTCTCTTTGGCTGCTGGGTTGTTTCAGTGCGGCAGACGAGTGGCTTAGAATTGGAAGGAGGGCACCGGAGTGGCAGGAGTGGGGAAAGCCTGCTTCCCCACACCACCTCACACTTGCAACGGTGACTGCTGGGCACAGAACTTGTCACCTATTCGCACTATGCGTTGCTCAGCCTGAGTCACAGGACTTTCTGGGAACTTAGTGAAGCATTACCATTTTACTTTCTTGCTTTGTGAGGTTTGGGGACTAGATTACGTCTGTCCTACCTTTCTTAGGTTTCAGATGAGTCTTGCAAACTTGAGTTCAGGAACATGTACTGCAGAAGGGAGTTGTCGAGCAGTCACACAATGAAGAGATCATGGGAGTGCCCTTTGGCATCGAACTTCTTTAAAGGCATTTAGAACTACCTCTCGCTTGTTGTTCTAAATTGAGTTTAATGAGTAATTCTGTTAAATAACTCACATTCAAGGTTTATATTAGTTTCCATAATTAGATCTTTTTGTTTGATTGGAGTTTAGGCTTAGTTTTAATTCTTTTCTCTGTCTCTGTTGACTTACTTTTTAACATGTAAAACACTAAATAGTTCTAGAAAATAAACCTTCACAAAAAGGTACTTTCACAAGTGTCATCAAGTCTCTTTCCCCACCCCCTCCAGTGTGCTGTAAGACACTGATTTCATTAGTTTCCTCCTCCTCTATCTTTTTTTTTGCAAAAAATAGCCATAGAAACACATGTGTGTACTTATGTATGCGTGTGTGTGTGCAGAAGTACACATATTTGATCTTTTTTTTTTTTTTT